GGGGGCATCCCTCAGCCCGGCCTGTGCCCTCTCGCAGTCTGGGAACCCTCAGGGGATGTCCACGTGCTGGCTTAGGCTTACTCTCCGGGGGATCAGGCCTAAGCTGGCAGTCAGACATCCCTCTGGCAGCCCGAGAGCCCTCAAGGGATGTCCACTTGCCAGCGGGGAGCAGGCCTAAGCAGCAGTCGGACATCCTTAGCGTTGCTGAGGAGGCAGGAGAAGCTCCCACCACCACCGCTGTACTGGCAGCCGTCAGCCTGGCTTGTGGCTGAGCAGAGCTCCCCCTGTGAGAGCGCACTGACCACCAGGGGGCAGCTCCTGCATTGAGGTCTGCCCCCTGGTGGTCAGTGTGTGTCATAGTGACCAGTCATTCCCAGTCATTCTGCTCTTATGGTCAATTTGCATATTACCCTTTTATTATATAGGATAGAGACCTGGTGCACGGGTGGGGGCCAGCTGGTTTGCCCTAAAGGGTGTCCTGGATCAGGGTGGGGGTCCTGCTGGGGTGCCTGGCCAGCCTGGATGAGGGGCTGAGGGCCATTTTCAGGCTGGCCACACCCCCTTCAGGGTGGGGGTCCCCACTGGGGTGCCTGGCCAGCCTGGGTGAGGGGCTGATGGCTGTTTGCAGGCTGGCCAAGCCCCCCAACGGGGACCCTCACCCTATGGGGGTGTGGCCAGCCTTGGTGAGGGGCATTTTCAGGCTGGCCACGCACCCGATGACCCAAGCTCCCAGCCTCTCCTTTTTTTCTTTTTTTCTTTTTCTGGGATTTATTTATCTTCTATAATTGAAACTTTGTAGCCTTGAGCATAGCCCAGGACCAGCCAGGGCAGGTGGGAAGCTTGGCTTCCTCCATCACCAGGGGCAACCCAAGCCTCCAGCTCCATGGCCACCGCCATCTTAGTTGGGTTAATTTGCATATTCGCTCCTGATTGGCTGGTGGGCGTGGCTGGTGGGTGTGGCTTGAGTGTAGTGGCAGGACAGTTAATTTGCATGTTTCTCTTTTATTATATAGGATTGTACTGAAGACTTTAGCCATGGCAATTAGGCAAGAAAATTACATAAAAGGCATACAGATTAGAAAGGAAGAAACAAAATTATTTGGGGATGACATATAGAAAATTCTAAGGAATCCACAAATAAACTATCAAGGCTAATAAATGAATTCAGCAAGGTTGTAGGATACAAAATAAATATATGAAATAAACTGTATTTATATTTACTAGCAATGAATAATCCATAAATGAAACTGAGAAAAACATTTCATTTACAACAGCATTAAAAAAGAATAAAATACTGAGGAATAAATTCAATGAAAGTATAAGACTTGGACACTAAACTATGAACCATTATTGAAGAAAATTAAAGAAGACCTAAATAAATGAAAAGACATCCCATTGATTGGAAAGCAATATTGTTAAATGGCAACATTCTGACATGGATCTACAGATTCAATGTAATACCTATCAAAAAGACAGATGTGCTGTCTTTTTTTCTTTGCAGGCATTGACAAGCTGATCCTAAAATCCATATAGAAATGCAAAGGACCCAGAAGAGCCAAAACAATCTTTAAAAAAAAAAAAAGAACAAAGAGGATTCAAACTCCCAATTTTAAAATTTTCTATACAGATACAGTAATCAAAATTGTCTGATATTGGCATAAAGACAGACATAAAGATCAACTGATCTAACCTGGCCGACATGGCTCATCAATTGAGCGTCAACTGTCAACCAGGAGGTCATGGTTCGATTTCCTGTCAGGGCACATGACCAGGTTGCGGGCTCAATCCCCAGTGTAGGGTGGCCAGGAGGCAGCTGATCAATGATTCTCTCTCATCATTGATGTTTCTATCCCTCTCACCCTCTCCCTTCCTCTCTGAAATCAATACAAATATATATTTTTTTTAAAAAAAGATCAGCTGATTTTGAACAAAGGTGTCAATACAAGTCAATGAGGAGAGAATAATCTTTTCAATATAGTATAGTGGGACAACTGGATATCCACATGCAAAAAAATAAAATAATATTGGACCCCTTCTTTATACCATACACAAAAATTAACTCAATATTGATCAAAGACCTAAGTGGAAGAACTAAAACTACATATTCTTAGAAAACATAGTTGTAAATCTTTGTGACCTTGAATTAGGCAATAATTTATTAAATATATACCAAAACCACAAGCAAAGAAAAAAATAGGTAAGTTAGACTTCATCAAAATTCAAATTTTTGTGCCTCAGAAAGCACAACTGAGAATGAAAGGACAACCCACAGAATGAAGAATATATTTGTAAATTATATACCCAATAAGTATATGAGTTTATATTCAAAAAATATAAACTATTACAACTAAATAACATCAACAACAAAAACACAAAGGATCTGAATAGATATTTTTCCAAAGACATATTAATGACCAATGAGCATATGAACAGAAGATGTTTAACTTCACTACTTAGTCATTACAGAAATGCAAATCAAAACTATAATGAGGTATCACTTTACACCCACTGTGGTGGCTATAATTAAATAGATGGACAACAGCAAGTGTTGGTAAGGATTTGGAGAAATTAGAACCCTGATACTTGGCTGGTGGAAATGTAGAACGCTGCTGCCACTGTGCAGAGTAGTTCCTCAAAATATCAAACATGGATTTACCAGGTAACACAGCAATTCCACTGCTAGAGATATACCTAGGAGAAATGAGCATATGTTCACTCAAAAACATGTACACAAATGTTCAGAGCAGCATTATCATAATAGACAAAAAGTAGGTAGAAACAACCCAAAAGTCCATCATCTGATAAGTGGGTCTATAAAATTTGGGATATCTATATGATGGATGTTATTCAGCCTAAAAAGAACTGATTTGGGCTACATTATGAATGAACCTTGAAATCATTATACTAAATGAAAGAAGGCAACATATTACATTTCATGTTTATGAAATTTCCAGAATAGGCAATTCATAGACACAGAGGGCAAATTAGTGTTTTCTTGAGGCTGGAGGAAGGAGGTAATGGGGAGTGCCTGCTAATGGGAATGGGGTTTACTTCGGGGTTAGTAAAAATGTTCTGGCATCAGGTAGTGGGAATGATTACAAAAATTCATGAATATACTAATGCCTACTGAATTGCACACCTTTAAAAGATGAATTTTATGGTACGTAAGTTACATCTTAAAAAAGAAGGAATTTCTCCTGCACCCCAAATTCAATCTTTTTCCTAGAAGCAACTAATGTTATTTATTTCTTGGGTACCATTCCTGAAATAGACTCTAGACATACAAACATGTATTTGCGTATGTATAGGTCCTTGTTAAAAACAGAAATATGAGTATAAAGCAGATATATTGTCCTAGATATTTTTTCTCTCTTTACAATATAACTTCAAGTACATTCCTCTTTACAATATAACTTGGCGGTTATTCCATTTCAGTATTTGGTTCTGAATATGCTATAATTTGGTTTGCTAGTATTCTGCTACAAATAATGTTGCAATTAATTTTCTTGTGTACATTTCCATGACATGCATACGAGTGGAATATGTTTCAAGAAGTTAAATTTCTGTATTTTATTTTAATAAACTGTCATTATTGACTTATGTCCTTCTTACTAGAATGTGGGTTCTCTGAGAACATAGACCATTTCTCTTTTATTGACCAGGGTAATCAAGATTCCAGAACATTCCCTGACATACTAGGGCTTTATATATTTGTAGATAGTCAAGCCTGTGTGCTTTGATGTACAAAATGTCAAATGAAAATTTGAAGTACATCATTCACGAAACAGACAATGATACAGTTTATAGAGACAGGAATTGTTTGGGGGGTTGTTTGCTTTCTTTCCATCCAATTGTTTTTATAGTTTTTCTTTTTCAACTGTAGTATGTTTTCAAAAATTGTGGGATCAATTGCAATGTATCGTTGTAAGAAATACAGAATCCTTCATTTCATTGGAATACATCAGCATGTTTTATTAAATAAATGCCTGATTCTTATATTTATTCTTGCAGTTATTGGAGGAAAGGGGCGGGGCGGGGGGGGGGGGGGTGCGGCGAGAG